CTGATGAATCCATCTGGTCCTGGGAATTTTTTCTTCACAAGCTCATTTATGGCTTGTTCAATTTCTTTTTCTAAGATAGGTATTTAAGTATTCTATTTCCTCTTCTGTTAATCTGTGCATTTTATGCTTTTGTAAATATTCGTCCACTTCACTTAGACTGTCAAATTTATTGACATATATAATGGAGTAAAATAACTTCTAATAATTGCCTTAATTTCACCTTCATTGGTGGTGAATTCACTTTTCATTTTTGATGATCAGTAATTTGATTGTCTTCCTTCTTTTTTTTAAATCAATTTGAACAATGGTTTATCCCTTTTACTATTTTTTCATAAAACCAGTTCCTAGTTTTATTTATTAGTTCAGTGGTTTTCTTACTTTCAATTTTATTAATTTCCCTTTGATTTTTCAGAATTTCCAATTTGGTGTTTAGTTGGAGATTTTTAATTGTTCTATTTTAAGGTTTTTTTAGTCATATGCCCAATTCATTGATCTGCTCTTTCTCCAAGTTATTGATATAAGCATTTAGAGATATAAATTTTGTCCTAAGTAATACTTCAGCTACATCCCATTTTGGGTACGTCGTCTCATTGTCGTCCCTCTCTTTAATGAAATCATTGTTTCTATGATTTGTTCTTTGACCCACTCGTTCTTTAGGATTAAATTATTTAGATTCCAATTAAGTTTTAATACATGTTTTCCTAGCCCTTTATTGAATATAATTTTATTGCATTATGGTCTGAAAAGGATGCACTTAATGTTTCTGCTTTTCTGCATTTGATTGAGGTTTTCATGCCCTAAAACATGGTCAGTTTTTGTGAAGGTGCCATGTACAGCTGAGAAAAAGGTATACTCCCTTCTATTCCCATTCGGTTTTCTTCAGAAGTCTACCCTATCTAACTTTTCTAAAATTCTATCTCTTAGCTTCTTTTTCCTTAACTTCTTTCTTATTTATTTTATAACCCAGAGCTTCCTGCCTCCAAATCCAGTGCTCTATCCACTGTGCCACACTACCTGAATAGCCTACTTTGTGTGTAACTGCCCACCTTCAGTTACCAGAGGCTCATACTATTTGGCACTGGAAGGAATTTCAGAGATGCCCTGGCCTGACCCCGTCATTATACAGATGAGAGAGCTGAGCCCCTGTAACTGAAAGGACTTGTCCAAGGTCACACAGATATAGTGATGAACACAATAACTGAGTTCAAATCCCAGCTCTGCCATTTGCTATCTGTGTGGCCTTGGGTAAGTCCCTTAACATTTCTGGGCTTCCACCTCCTCTTCTGGCCAATAAGGGGGTTGGAATAGATCGTCACTAAGGTTTCTTGAGCTCTAGAGCTGGAAGCCTATTTCCATAAGCCTATGGAATGGCAGAGTTGGATAGGAACTTGTTAGTAATGTCAGCTACTTTGGTGTTCCCTGTTCTCAGGCCCTCCTATCTCCTGTTAAGGGCCCTCCCGGCTGTGACAGTCGGTCTGTGACTATGACCTCGGTGTTCTAGCTCCTCTCTGTACATGCTCTTACAGAAGCACATAGAATAATAAGTCTTTCTATGTCTCCCCAAGTCTGCTCGCTTTCTACTGACCTTTCGCTGCTCACACACCAGGAGAAGAAGATGAGGTGGGGGGAGGTGGTTCAGGGGCTCTGGTCCTGGCTTTGTTCACACAAACAGCCAGGGCTGACCAGACTACCAAGGCCTTGACTACTGTTCCATCACTTCCCCATTAGCCTCCCATGGCACCAGCCTCACCCCATCCAGGTCCCTCCTAGGGATGCTTAGGACATTGTTTCCAAAAAGTCATTGTTAAAAGGAGGTACTGATTTCCACCACCACCACCCCCTTTAAAAAAAATCCTGTTGTTATTATCGTCTTTGGTTTTTGTATCACCTTAATTTATTGGACACTAGGTGGCACAGTGGATAGAGCAGTGGGTCCGGAGTCAGAAAGCCCTGAGTTCAAATGTTGCTTCAGTCACTTACTAGCTGTATGACTCTGAGCAAGTCACTTAAATATTTCTTTGCCTCAGTTTCCTCATCTGTAAAATGGGGATAGAATAATAGCCCCTATTGTGCAGACTTTGCAAACCTTAAACTGTTCTACAAATGTTAGCTATTATAATAATTTCATTAAATTTGAGCTCCTTGAGGGCAGGGCCTCTCTTTTACCTCCTTTTCTATCCCCAGTGCTTAGCATAGTGCCTGGCACACAGAAGGCACTAAATACATGTAGATTGATAGATTGAAATACAGCCCTTCCCCCTCCCCTTATTCTTAAAGGAGAAAAAAAAACAGTTCAGCAAAGCCAACGGACAAATCAACCAATTCTGATGGTGTATACCCTATTCCACACCCACAGTCCCCCACTTCCGCAAAGAAGAAAGGAAGGCTCGTTTCTCCAAGGCCACGCTTGGTTATTATAATTACACAGTTAAATATTTTTTTGCAAACTTTGCAGAGTTGTCACACCCCTTTCCCAGCAGGCCCCCCGGGAAGCAGGCTGGCCGCCCCCATCACACAGAACATTTCTAGGCCCCTCTTCAGGCCCCAGCTGGTGCCTCCCATCCAACCGTTCCCCAGCAAACAACACAACAATAACACAGAGGAACCATATTCTCTGATAATCTGCATGTTGTTACTCAGTCGTGTACGTCCTGTCCAACTCTTCATCACCCCCTCTTGGGGTTTTCTTAGCAGAGATACTGGAGTGGTTTGCCATTTCCTTCTCCAGCTCATTTTACATGAGGAAACTGAGGCAAACAAGTTTAAATGAGTTCTTTGTGACCCTATTTGTGGTTTTCTTGGCAGAGACACTGAAGTGGTTTGCCATTTCCATCTCTAGCTCATTTCACAGATGAAGAAACTGAGGTCAACAGGGTGAAGTGACTTGCCCAGGGTCACACAGCTAGGAAGTATCAGAGACCAGATGGACCTCATGAGGATGAGTCTTCCTAATTCCAAGTCCAATGCTCCATCCCAGTGCACCACGTAGCTGCCCTGTTAACCCTCATCATTTACTCCCAAAGAGGAGTTCCAATAATAATTATCCTAAGATACCCTGACCAGGTGACTCTCCTGCTCATAAATCTTCAGTAGCTCCCTACTTCCTCTAGGAAAAGATGTACACCACACTCTTCAGCCTGGCACAGAAGACCCTCCGTAATCTGGCTCCGACTTTGTCCTTCTAGACATTTTTCATGCCAAAGGGGTCTGTCCCAAAAGGGAGAAGTGTCAGGTCTTCAAATACACCCTCCTTTTTTCTTTCAGGCCCAGCACAAAGGGTGATTTAGACCCAGCACCAATGGGTCAGAGACAGCCAGGTCATCCCACTGGATGGTGCCCAAGGAGAGGTCCTTATCCTGGATAAGGCATTACAGGGCACACCCCCAAGCTTCTCAGTGACACTGTTCATTGGCAAGCCCACCATAAGTAAGAAGAAAGCAGTCCCAAGCAAAGGGTCCCCATCCCTTGAGCTCATAAAAGCATACACCCAATGGTGCCTTATTCATATCATGAGCTCTGTGGGATGTTCTTCAGAAGTGACAGATCATCTCCCACCTCTGGGCATTTGCATAAACTGTACCTCAGGAGTGGGACAGACCTTCCTCCTCACCACCTCTCAGAATTCTTCCCTTCCTTCAGGCACAGTTCATGGTCACCTTCTCCGAGGAGTCCTTCCAGATCTCCCCTCTCCACCTTGTTAATACTCCCTCTCTCCTCAAAGTACCCTCTATTTACTTCTCCGTGTGCAGCTGAATCCCCAGTAGACTGTAATTTCCTTGAGGTCTCGTTATTGTTTTGTATCTCTACTCTGTTATTATTATTAACTCATATAACTTTGAACCATAGCTATTATTGCTATTATTAATTTTATTTTTTATTATTAATTTATTATTATTAACAACAATTCAGAGACCCCATGCAGGTAGTATGCACCGTGCCTGGCACACCAAAGGTGTTTAATAAGCGTGCTCTGAGGCGATGGAGGTCCCTTCTAGCCCTAAGCCCACAGTACTAGAAATGACTCCACCAAGGTCAGGGCTAGGAATGGAAGCCAGGTCCTCCTCTCTGCCTCCCCTGCCGGCACAGGCTGGGGCAGGGTGTCTGAGGATCTCCTCTGGCTTCCTTCCATTAGCAAATTAGCACCTGCTTCCTTGATCAGAAAAGCAAATTGTCATCTGTGAACACCCCTGGGAGAGCCCAGCCCTGAGGTTCTGAGCTTAAGGGCATCTGAGTTCTAGAGGTTTGAATGGAGAGCCATGGGGCTGTAAGGGGTGGGGGGGAATCCTTGCCAAGCCAGGCAGTGGCCCCTGCTGCAGACAGCGCAGGGGCCTTGGCACTGCCTGGGGCCAGATAACTGCTTTGAGGTTCCCTCTCTCTTCCTCCCCTTTGGCAATCATTTCTTCTTTCCCTATGAGGCTCATTCATTCATTCCACAGTACTCCTTAAGCACCTACCAAGCTCCTGGTCCTGTGCAAAGTGCTGGAGACGTAAAAACAAAAATCAAACAATACCTGCCCTGAAGGAGCTTACATTCTCGTGGGGGGAGGGGGAGTAAGCATTTGTTAAGGGCCTGCTGTGTGCCAGGCACTGGGCTAAGCCCTTTACAAATATCATTTCATTTGGTGACAATGTGTAGACAGCTAAGTAAACGTGAAATGTAAACAAAGATAAAAAGCAGTTTCTGGGGAGAGGCACTAGCCCCTGTCACTCTACTACCAAGCCTCAGTTTTCTCATCTATTAAATGAGGGAGTTAGATGAAGTGACATCTAAAGTCCCTGAGCTTCTATCAGCCTATGTTCAGGACAGGCTCTGTACGGGGTGGGCCCGAAGCTGAGCTTTGAAAGAAGCCAGGGGATTCTGTGTGGTAGAGGCGAGGAAGACGTGCACGCCTGGCATTAGGAACAGCTTCTGCAAAGGTTTGGAGGTAGGAGATGGGAGGGCATGCAATACAGCAAATGGTCCAATAGAACATCTGGGTGCCTGGTTCTTTTCCATGCAGATTCTCAGTAGCCAAGACGAATGGTTCAAAGCTGAGCTGAGGAGTCAAGAGGGCTACGTACCGAAAAATTTCATAGACATTCGCTTCCCTAGGTAAGTACCATCAGGGCATCAGAGAACCTTCTGAAGTAATGGGGATTGTGTGTGTGTGTGTGTGTGTGTGTGTGTGTGTGTGTGTGTGTAGAAGAGTTTTCTATATATACTATACACACACACATATATATGTACACACACATATATGTATACATACACACATATGTGTATACACATATGTATACACACATATATGTATTCATACACACATATATGTATACACACACATATATATGTATACACACACATATATGTATACACAGGGGTCACTTTTTCTCTCTCTGTCTCTGTCTTTCTATCTCTGTCTCTTTTGCTTTCTCTCTCCATATCTCTGTCTTTTTGTGTCTCTCTCCATCTGTTTCTGTCTGTCTCTCCCTCTCTACCTCTGTCTCTCTAGCTTTCTTTCTCTGTCTTTGTCTCTCCATCTCTGTTTCTGTCTCCCCATCTCTCCCTCTCTACCTCTGTCTCTCTAGCTTTCTCTCTCCGTCTCTGTTTCTGTCTCCCTGTCTCTCCCTCTCTGTCTCTGTTTCTTTCTTTCTGTCTCTCTATCTCTCTGACTCTCTGCCTTTGTCTCTGTCTCTCAGACTTTCTCGGTGAGCCTTTGTCTCTGTATCTCTCTCTGTCTTTGTCTTTCTCTGTCTCTCTGTGGGTCTCTCTCCCTCTTCAGACACTGCCCCCGGCTGTTGATTCCCAGAGCTATAGAAGCACCAGCCATCACCACCAATTATCATCGTTATTATTATCATTGCTGCTGTTCCCTCTGCCTGTCAACACTCTCATAGGATATAGGCTCATAGGAGCAGGAAACGACCTCAACGTTCACCCAGCCCTCTCGTTTTTCAGAATAGGAAACTGAGGCCTGGAGAGGGGACAATGGTTAGCTCAAAGTCACAAAGGCCTCCCTGATTCTAAAAAGAAAACGCTTCCCTTGACCCTCCAAGCTCTGCTCTCTCCCCTCCTCCTCCTGCATCTTTTCTGTCACGCCCAGGAGAATCTCTTTCATACATAGATCTGGCCACGTCAGCACAGAGGTCTGCACACAGCAAGAGCCTAGTAAATGTGTGTTGCTCTGTGCTGTCAGTCCCCTGCTCAGAAATCCTTAGTGGTTCCTTAGTCCTCACAGGCAGTGCAGTGGAAAGAGTGCGTGTACAGTGGGAAAGAATCTGAAGATCTGAGGTTGAATCCTGGCTCTGATAGAAACTACCTGGGTGATGTTGGACAAGGCTCTTGAGCTCTCTGGGCCTCAGTTTCCTCCTCTGTAAGATGACAGGCTGGACGAGGTGGCCCCTGAGGTCCCACGTGGCTCTAAATCCAGGCCCCTATCATTCGATCGATCATTCAATCTCTGAACGTTTATCGAGCAGCCAGGACCTCCCTGCCTCCCCATTGTACTGAAGGCTGCCACTCTCTTTTCACTCCCTGCTCCCGTGGAGTTTTCTGGTCCTGAGCCCCCATACCCAGGAACGGAGGATTCTCCCTCTGGCACATGCTCCCAGCAGCCCTTCTCACCACGAGGCTGGTCCTTGTGCCCCTTCTGGCAATGACTCACGCCCACATTGTCCTGATTCTGCACCCAGGATATTTCCGTGACTCAAGGTTTCCCAGCTAGGGAATTACTCACTTTGGTGAGATTCACTCCCTCAAAAAAAAATCAGAGGATTGGTTTTGTTTCAGAGGAAGGGATTTCCTCCAGGGCCTTGTCCATCTCTGCCCTCTGCCCTGGCCCATCTTCCCTGCTCTCCTCCCCTCACTGTGCCCTTCAGCTCCCCTTCCTCCTCCCCCTCCTCCTCCTCCTCATCATCTCCTTGCTTTGTCTCCTCTTTACAGCTGGTTTCATGAGGACATCTCCCGACATGAAGCAGAGAGCTTGCTCATGGGCAGGGACGTGGGCTTCTTCATCATCCGAGCCAGCCAGAGCTCACCTGGGGACTTCTCCATTTCTGTCAGGTACTGCCTGGTGCTACCCAGGTAGCCGCCTGCCTGGTGTGGGGGGCCTGGGGAGACTTACCAAAGGAGCCATCCCTTTGGAAGCCATGAGATGTGTGAGTGGATATCAGGACATGGCGGGGGGTGGGGGAGGCAGGGGAGAGCCCAGGACTCCCAGATGGTCCATCTGACTTAGAGTGTAAACTCTGACACGTCTGTACTCTCACTGACCCCCCACAAAAGTCCTTCTCAGAGGCCCTGCCGGGGGTGGGCCTGGCCTCTGTCTGGCATCCCAAGGCGGAGCAATGTTCGACATTGGGAGAGGCTCAGCAGCAGCCTGGCCGCAAGAGGACGGATCTTTCAGAAACAGAACCTGCCCATCCCATAGTCAATCCACAAGTGACATGCTTACAATTAGCCTGAGGGAGCTTCCCCAATCCCATCGAGAACATGGGGGGGGGGAGTTGGAGGGCCAGATAAAAGGCTGGCTGGAGGCTGGAGGCCAGGGCAGATGTTCCATAGAATCATGGGATCCCAAGCCCTGGAACAGACTTAAGTGACTCTCCCAGGGCTATACAGGAAGTGAGGGGCTGAGGTAGAATCTGAACTCGGTCCCTGGGACACCAAGTTCAGGCCTCTGCCTGCATCACCTCCAGCCACCTTCTCTCTCTCTTTAGGCGGCAGCTTCCTCCTTTCTAAAATGAGGGGACCGCACTGGGGCAGGAGAATGCTGCTGCCTCATATACCTGAAAGCCTGATGGAGGCGGCTGCATAGTATGGGGGGGAAGTCCATCGGCTCTGCAGAGCACCAGGTTCAAATCCCACCACTGGTGCTTACTAACTAGATGATCTTGGATAAGTGATTTTCCCTCTCTGAGCCTCAGTTTCCTTCTCTATAAAATGAGGAAGTTAGACCAGATGATGTGTGGTCTCCCCGCCAGCTCCAGAGCTATCTGCTCCTGTGACTGTCGAGCCTAGTGACCTTGGGCGAGTCACTTAAAGGCTCTGTGCCTCAGTCCCCTCCTCTGGACTGGAGTAAACAAGCTAGATGATATGTGAAAAGTGCTTTAGAAACACTGGCCATTATGTTGTTATTAGACAAGGTCTAAGGTCCCTCCCAGCTCTCAACCTTACAAGTCACTGAATAGAAGATGACCACCTGAAAATATCGACAAGAGTTAACAGCTGGCTTCATTTAACCCTCAGGGTTTGGAAAGCACTCTGCAGCCATCTAAATGGAGGCCTGGATTGAGTCAGGAAGCCCTGAGTTCAAATCTGGCCTCAGGCTGGCTATGTGGCCCTGAGCAAGTCACATAACCTCTACCTGCTTCAGTTTCTTCCACTGTAAAATGGGGATCATAACAGAGCTACTCCCAGTGTTGTTGTGAGGATTCAATGCAGTCATATTTGTAAAATACTATTAAAATGCTGCTAGGTATTATTATTATCATCGTCTCATATTCTCACGATAACTCCATGGATAATATTACTACTCCCATTTTCAGGATAAGGAAACTGAGGCTGAGAGACGTTACATGACCTACACAGTGTCTGAGGTGGGATACAAACCCAGGTCTTCCTGACACCCCATTCATCATTCTATCTGTGACACACCCAGCTGCCTCCCCAACATGACCCTGGTGCGGGCCAATACCAGGAGAGCTGGGCGGAAAGATGGGCATGCCAAGACACACAGCATGCCTGGTCAGTCGAGTCATCAATCAGAGGCGGAGGGTCTTGGCTGCTCCTGGGGACCACCTCCAAGTGTGTAGGCAGGAAATGAGCTTTGTCTTCAAGGGCAAGGGGGGCAGACTCACCAGTGAACCTCATTAAGCCTCTTTGATTGTAGGGGACAGAGGGGGGCCCTCCTTCCAATCCCACCCTATTTTTAAAATAATTGCTGCTTTATTGTTTTTAAGTACTCTAATCACAATCTAGGTTAACAAATTAGGAGTCCTGCGGAGGTCTGTTTTAATATTATTGTCATGTTGATTGCAAATCATTTCTATTTCCATCCACAGAGAAATGATTTGTAATTAGCATAACAACTTCCATCCAGCTGTGGGGTTGCCAGTGTTTGGATGTAACCTCATCCCTTTGGCAGGTTAAACATTCCCCTTGGAAGTTTGCTTGGGGCACGTAGTAGGTGCTTCAATAAAAATCAATCCAGCAGAACTGAAATTGGTTAACTGGAGGTGGAAGAACGCTCTAGAGCTGGTCACGACAGTAATGTGCTGCGTGGTCCTGGACAAGAGGCTTCAATGTCTCCACGTGTCACATGAGAAGCACACACCAGTCCCAGCTCGATGATCAATCAGCGCATTTGTTAAGTATTCCTGTGTATCAGGCAGAAAAAAAACCAAAAGAAAGGAGCAGCGCCGGAGAGAGACAACATCCCAATTCATTTTCTTAGCAGGTGCTTTTTCCAGCCCAGGTCTGGTATGAAAGGTCACAAACTCCAAATGAGTGACGGTTAAACTAGTGAGGTTTGGTTACCCAGAGAGCCATGGCTGGACTATCTCGCTTCTGTTTTTGCCGTAATACATATCGGAGGCAGTGGGCATAGAGTGCTGGGCTTAAGTCAAAAAGATCTGAGTTCAAATCCTTCCTCTGACGCTTGGTAGCTGAGTGACCCTGAGAAGATCACTTTGACCTCTAACCCTAACCCACTCTTCAGCACTTATCTACTAAGCCATCAGCAGCTGGGTGGCTCAGTGAATAGAGCATCTGGCCTGCAGTCAGGAAGACCTGAATTCAAATCTGGCCTCAGACACTCAGAAGCTGTGTGGCTCTGGGCAAGTCACTTAGCCTTGTTTGCCTCAGTTTCCTCATCTGTAAAATGAGCTAAAGAAGGAGATGGTAAACCAGTATCTTTTCCAAGAAAACTCCAAATGGGGTCACAGAGAGTTGGACAAGACTGAAAACAACTGAACAACACTAAACCACAGATAGATTGCAATATGTCTCTGTGAAGGGAGTTACCACTTCAGGAGGGCCCCCCAATGTGGTCCAGAGAAGCAATGCATAAGAATGGAAAGGCACTGAAATGGAGTGGGGAGCCCCGGCTCGGAATCCTGGGCCTGACTCTAACTTGCTTCGTGACCTTGGCTAAGCCTCTTTTCCCTCCTGGGACTCAGTTTAGTCACCTGTAAAAGGAAGAGATGGAATCAGATGGTTTCTAAGGTCCTTTCAAATGTCCTACCTCCCCTTTGAGTTTCAGTTCCCTCCTCTGTAAAATGAGGGGCCCCAGGGCGAGAGTGTGGGATCCCAGGATGCTAGCTCAAGTCCTACACTGGACCTCGAAAGCTGTCTCATCCGGCCCCTCATTTTATTGTTGGGAAGACAGAGGTCCACGTTCATGGGCCCAGGAAATCCTGAGGTTGGATTCGAACTCTGGTCATCCACTCCCACAATCCCACACTGCCTCTCTTATAACAGAGAAGATGCAGAAGGACTTTAGGTGCCATAAAGTCCAGTGCATCGAAGTGTCAAGGGTTATTACCATACTGAAAACTCCCATTGAGATAGATCTGGAATCTTGAGCTGGGAGGGATCTCAGAAAATCCACCCTCTTACAGGGTAGGAAACTGAGGCCCAGGAAAGGAAAGTGATTTGCCCATGGCTACACAAGTAAACTATACAGGAGCTGAACTCCAATCCTTGGAAGGCCGCTGGGTATAGGCAGGAGTGTGCAGGCAAATGTTTAACAAACAGCTCTCTGGAGGAGGGGAGGGGAGTTTCACCTGCATTATTAATACTTTCTTAAGACTGGACAATCACTAAATAGTAAATTGAGTCCTGATACGAATTGTTTGGACAATTTCTGAGGTGTAAACACCCACACTGAACATTTAACCACAAGCCTGAGCTGACTCCAGCACCCCTTGGGTACAGAGGACTTAGAGTGAGGAAGGTATGGATCTGAATCCTGCCTCAGGCACTTCCTGGCTGTGTGACCCTGGGCAAGTCCCTGCCCTCGTCTGAGCCTCAGTTTCCTCATCCATCCAGAGGAAGGCAGTGGGCTTGATGACCATCCCTCCCTTCCCCTCGGAGCCTGGGCCTCCCCTGTTCCGGGCAGCTCAGAAACACCTTTCCTCAGGATCCAGCTGGCCCCAGCATCTGAGGAGATCAAGGGGGAATCTCCCAGGGGCCTTCTTAACTTGACGTCAAAAACGTCCTCCAGGCAGCATTCTTGTTAGCTTTACCTTACCTACGACTTCAAAACCATCTGCAGTGAGGGCCTGGGAGGGCTGCCTCCCTTTGCTGTAGCTGTTAGTGTGGCTGACGTCATTGTTATCATCCTGGACAGCTCATAAATCTGGGCAGGAACACCTCATCACGTCACCCAGAGACTCATCTTTTAATATGAATCCTCTCTCCCTGTCCTCAGCGCAGATCACCACGCCCAGCTAGTAAGCCTCTGAAATAGCTGCCCGGTTCAGCCTTGGTTCTGGTACCTTATTTCTAAAGGCCCCCAGCTGGCCACTTGTAACCAGCACCTGGAACCGGAGCTGTAATGACCATGGGGCAAGCAGGGCTCTTCCCCAGGATGCCAGCATCCAGAGGGGCACGTGGCTTCCATCCGCAGCAATCCAAGTCACCATCCCAGGTGGCTGAGGCTCACCCAGAACTTGGTCCATGATGCCAAGCCCTCTAGCCAGGCTGCCCCTGCCCCAGGCCAGTGCAAACAAGGCTGGCCTCCACCATGGGCCATCGCCTTCCACCTCTCCTCCCTGGTTTGCCTTCTCTGCTTCCTCTCACAAGGAAGGTGGGTTGGGGTCTATTGGCTCAGCCACAGGAGCCCAGCCCAGCCTCAGCCTAGGAGGGATGGATGATTTTGCCTGGATATGCTGTCCTCAGTACTCTCTCCCACCCCTGCCCGCATTGACTGCAACAAGAATTTCAGGTTTATAATCTGTTAGACGACTCTGACCAGGATCTTTAACCTGGAATCCTCCAGATAATAAAAGTGTAGTTTATAGCTTGAACCCTTGGATGAAAGATAACAAAAGAATGATCATAACTTCCTTGGGATAATATCTCCCCCCACACACACCCCCCCACTGCTCCTTCTTTTCCTCCTTCTTCTCCTTCCCCCAAGCACAAGTGAATGCCTGCCCCATCACGTGGGGTTGAAATGGAGAGAGCTGCCACCCAGGGACAAAGTTAATAACAACAGCTAACAACCAGAGAGCTCTTAACAATTTACAGAGCCGCTTCCCATCCCTGATCTATTTAAACCTCACGGTAGCCCTGTCAGACAGGCAAGGCAGGTCCAACAGCCAGGGAAGGGGTAGTGTCCTGAGCCTGAGGATCAGGTCTGGAACTTACAAACCCTGAGCCTCAATTTCATCATCTGCAAAATGGGCCTAAACTGTTTGACCACTGGCATTCTATCTCTCACCTCCAAGCCTTTGTACTGGCTGTCTCCGATTCCTGGAATGCATTCTCTCTTCACTTAGGCTTCTTAGAATTCCTGGTTTCCTCCAAGGTTCAAATTCTCCCTAAGGCCTTTCCCAACTCCACCCACCCAACCAGGTTGCTAGCTGAGAGGTAGTGTGGTATAGCGGATAGGGCACTGGAGTAGGAGTCAAGCCCTGGATTCAAATTTCACCTCAGACAACTTACTAGCTGTGTGACCCTAGACAAGTTACAACCTCTCTGTGCCTCAGTCTCCTTATCTATAGAATGATTCCATGGCCTCTAAGGTCTCTTTGAGTTCTAAATCTATTATTCTAGCAGGGGTGAGGAGCCTGCAGCCTCCAAGCCACATGTGCCCTTCAGGTCCTCAAGTGCAGCCCTTTGACTGGTTCACGGATTCAGACAAGGGCCACACTTAAGGATCTAGAGGGCCAACGTGGCCTCGAGGCCACAGGTCCTCCACCCCTGCATCTAGTGCCTCGCCCCCCAAATTATCTTGTACCTATTCTGTGTGGACTCACATATGTCCATCTTATCACCCCCTATTAAAATGTAAGTTCCTGGAGGGCAAAGACTTTTATTTTTGTTTTTGTGGTTCTAACTCCGGGCACAGGGCCTGGAATATAGCACTTAGAATTAATTATATGTTATAATACATATCTTATATATGTATAATAATATATAATGTAATTAATAAATACTCATCTTTCCATTAGTTGATCGAATCAATAGATTCAATCATCTCTTATGTTTCGAGCACTATGCTATATGCTCTAGGCATAAAATGACAGAATATTCTCTGCCCTCAAGGAGTCTATATTCCGCTGGAATGAAGCTCATCTCTCTCAGTGGATTTTGTCCATTTTTTTCAAGCATTTATTCTCTCTCCCTCCTGTCCCCTCCCCTTACTGAACAAATTGTTTAAAAAATAAAGATAAAATCCTCATAGTCATAGTCCAAATAATAGTCCATACTCCAAGACAAATTCTCCCCTTGGCCAGGTCCAAACACAGAGGTCCACCACCTCTCTGGAGATAGAAGGACAATAGATAGCTTCATGGTGATCTTGCCTCCTATCCCAAAGACCGGTGAAAAAAATCCAGCTGCTCCACCCCCTGGATCATCCTCCTCCAATTAGGACTTGTGATGGTTCATGAAACCTCAAAGGTCCTCGAGTCTAGTCCATTGACGGCTGTGACCCCTCTCTTCCCCATCCCCACCAACAGGCTGCCCGGGCTTCCTCTGAGGAGGACCTCCGTGGAGGAGGCATCTCTCAAGGCAGCCCTACCCCACTCTCATCCTTGGGAAGCTTCTCCTGACCTCCAGACCCAAACCTCTTAGCCATTTCCCCCATTACTTCTAATTCCGTCTTCTGGAGTCAAACAGAACAAAGTCTAATCCCTCCAAGGATCCTAGGATTGTAGATTTCATAGGACTCATGCAGTTGCCTGCTTCATAAGAGATGCTTTAAAAATCAGCAGCTAGGGAGTGACATAGTGCATAGATCATTGGGCCCAAAATCAGGAAGACCCAAGTTCAAACCAGCCTCAGAGGCTCATTAGCCAAGTGACCCTGGTCAAGTCACTTTCTGCCATAGTTCCATCATCTGTAAAATGGGGATAATGATAGCACCTACCTCCTTGAGTTGTGAAAATCAAATGAGGAAGCACTTTGTAAAAATGCTTCCTAAACCTTCAAGTGCTAGATTAATGCTAATTATTATGCGCTATTGTAAATTCTTGTTGACTAGGGAAGATCCCCAAGAGTGTGTGCGTCCCAGTAAAATTTTACAGTCCCAGATTTAGAGCTGGAAGGGACCCGGGGTCTTCTGGTTCAGCCCCTCCCTTTGCCTGAGGAAGGAGTGGGGCAAGTTCTCTCTCCAGTGACCTTCCTCCCCTTGACTTCCAACCCTCAGATTCTGTCTCTAAGCTTCCTTCCCCTTCTCAATCCTGCGATCTTTGACCTTAGAATATCTGATGACTGGTCATCAAGCCCCTGCCCACCTCGCCTTCCCTTTAATGATGGGGACCCTGACTTTCCAAAGCAGCTTGTTCTGTTTGGGGTTGGGTTTTTTTGTTGGTTTGCTTGTTTGTTTTTGGTAGATCCAATTACTAGGAAAGTTTTCCTGACATTAAGCTGAAATCTGATTCTCCGCTGTGCTCCTGCCCAGCTATCCTCCTCCCACTGTCTAGGGCCAAGCAGAATCAGGCTAATCCCTCTTCCCCAGGACAGTCCTTCAGACACCAGAGGAGTTTTGAAACTGAGTCCTTGACCACCCTTTGGCCTCAAGAAACCCACAGCAGTGTTTGCCATTTGTTGGGGTTTATTGGATTGTATTTTATTTTTTGTCTCTAGTAGAGATGCTGGTTTGAGTGTCCTTGACAGAATCTGGCTTGTAGAATGGCTTTCTGCCAATATAAAATCCCCGGTTGTGTGGGTGGGAGCACCTGGCTTGCCGTCCCCTTGGGGTTGTGGCCCCCATCCTCCCCAGACAGAGCTGCACGTCCAGGCTGGTCTGAGTGAGTCTCCTGGAGGTGCCTATGCGGCAGGATCTCCTTTTGTAATGGACCCTCTGGGTTCTGCTTGGGCCCAGGCACGAAGAGGATGTCCAGCACTTCAAGGTCATGAGAGATGCCAAGGGCCACTACTTCCTGTGGACGGAGAAGTTTCAGTCTCTGAACCAGCTGGTGAATTTCTACCGGACCTCCTCCATCTCAAAGCAGAAGCAAATCTACCTAAGGGATGGGAGCCGAGAAGACCAGGTAGCACCCGGGGACACTCCCAGGGCAAGGGAACCCCATGGAGAAAGAGCATCAGACTTGGGGGCGCCATTTGTACAACAGTCAGTTAGTCAGTCAGTCAGCATTTATTAAGCACCTACTGAGTGCCAGCCACTACAGGAAGTGTTGGGGCAAAAAAAGAAAGGCAAATAGAAGGGAAGGCAAAACCAGCCTCTGCCCTCAAAAAGCTGGCATTCTGATGGAATGTAGTAGAGCTTTGCATTTGGTGGGTGCTTAATAAACACTCGCTGAGCAAAACTGAGTTTGAATAGGGTACCAGTAGGTACCAATAACTAGATACATACAAGATACATATTGGCTAACTGGGAGATAACAGAGTGACAGCCCTGGGGGCTGGGCCCACAAGAGGAGGAAAAATCTCCCACGCAAAGTAGCGTTAGGGCTGAGTCTTGAAGCAAGCCAAGAGGTAGAGGGGAAGGAGGATGTGCATTCCAGGCTGGGGGCCAGCAGAGGCATAGTCAGGAGATGGAGTATCTCCAGCCCTTCCTAGCTCTGAGATCCCGAGCGGTCACATCACATCGCCTCGCCTCAGTTTCCTCATCTTTAAAATGGAGACAAAATGGCACAATGGACAGAAGCCACTCCAGAGGTAAAGAAGATCTGGATTGAGTCCTGCCCTCTCTGGTCTCAGTTTCCTTCTCAGTAAAAAGGGAGTAGATGCTAGAAATAACATGGTGCTGGGGAAAAACCACTAAGTCAGAAGTCAGAGGTCTTGGGTTTGAATCTCTCTATGTGGAGCAAGTCACTTCCATCTCTGAGCCTCAGTTTCCTTTTCTGTAAAATGAGGGAGGTTGGGATAAATGACTTGTGAGGTCCTTCCAGGATCCTCTGACATAACCCAATGCTTCCTTAGGAGGACAGCACGCTGTAACCCTTAAAATGAGATGTGCATATGGGAGTAGTTCTTGCTAACGGGTTTAATTAGCTCAACCGTTCTGTTAGAAGCTATCGACTCATTTTCAGAGGAAACAGCAGAGGGTTAAGAGGCAGTTCCTAGAAGGGGGCATTGGCTGGAGATGCAGAAAGGCCTAGCTGTTGGAGAAGAGCAGAGCTATAGGACAAAGGGGAGGGAACTCCTCCTGGTCCACTGGACAAGTGGGGTCCAGCCTGAAAATCTGAGGAAAGGGGGCAAGGGAGTGCGGTCATTAGGGACACATGCAAGCTCAGGTAGGAAGAGATGAAGCAGCTCCAGTTTCAGGAAGTTCCCTGAATCATGACACAGTGGAAAGAGCAATGACTTTGGAGTCAGAAGACCTGGGTTCAAATCCTACCTCTCACTCTCACTGCTTATGTGTCTTTAGGCAAGTCACTCCATCTCCCCCAGGCCTCAGTTTCCTCCTCTATGAAATGAAAGCATTGGACTAGATGACCTCGGAGGCCCTTCTGCTCTAGGGTTAAGAAATGGGAAATGAATAAAGGCTTCCAATTCCCAGGATGTGTCCATGTGCTATGACCCTGCCCTCTGATTGATACAGCTAGAACGAAAGTCCTAGAATAAGAGAAGAACCCTAAATCTAGGTCTGGGAGGAATCTTCCAGAAGAGGGTGTGGAGGGGTCAGCATGACCTAACTCCCAGGGGAAGGCTTGAGTCTGTGAGTGAGGGATGCCAGGCTTGGGAATTTCTCAAGTTTCAAGCAACCTTAGTGTATCTGGGAAATTTGGAAGTCCCCTTGTGAAAAAGTGTGGGGACTGGAATGGATCCCTTTCTCTGAGCTGGCCCTCAACACCTCCTTCTTGGACTTCTGGTGGTCACGGAAGAAACACAGGAGAGCTGAGCCCAATGCTTAGCACTGTGCCTGGTACTTAGCAGGCACTTAATACAGGCTTATTAACTTGACTGGATCAGGAGAAGGCTGGTGCTAGGTAGGCAAAGTTGAGAGCTGGTGGGAGGAAATGGGTTAAGACACCTTCCCTCTCTGAACCGCAGTTTCTCCATATGTAAATTGGGCAAGTTAATATTTGTACCATCTCCTCACAGGGTTTTTGTGGGGAAAGCTCTTGTTAAATTGCGGACTTGGGAGTCGTGAATTCAAATCCCATCTTTGCCATTTATCACTTGTCTCTGGGCGTCAGTTTCTTCCTCGTAAAATGAGCAGGTTGGACTAGCTCTAAAGTCTCTCCCAGTTTCAGATGTAGCATCCTATGAGGCATCTGATGTGACCTATGGCTCCCTTTGTCCTGCTAGGACCGGTGGGGTGGGAGCCTAGAACGACGTCTCCAGGAAGGGCTTCACATCGGTGGAGGTGGAGGAGAAGAGACTCGTCCTTCAACAAACAGGAAACTGTCTGATCACCCTTCTACCCTGCAATCCCATTATCAGGTGCAGCAGTCACCACCACAGCAGCAGCAGCCACTGCCCCAGCAGCAGCTGACTACCATGATGTCCCAGCAGTACCAGCAGCAGCCGCAACAGCGGTACCAGCAGCACCATCAACTTCAGCCGGTACCCTGGGAGAAGGAACCTGGGGTGTGGCAGGGGCAAGGAGGCTTGGGCTAAGGCTGGGTCAACAACAGGACCAGTCTTGGCTGTGTGGCCAAGAGGAAAGGATGTCAGACTTGGGAGCAGGAGGCCATGGGTTCAGATCCTCCCTCTCACACTGACCTACTGTGTGATCCTGGGCAAGTCACTCATTTCTCTGACTCCCGGTTTCCTCATCTGTTACATGGGAATACCTCACAGGGTTGTTTTGAGGATGAAGGGAGATAAAGTCTCCCACAACTAAGTAATGAGGAAGAAAGAAAGGTTAGATGCAAGGGAAGCCTTTGGTTCAGAGCACTCTGGGTCCTCTCTGCAGAGTGCCCCTTAACCCAAGCCAAGAGTTCTTGGTGGTAACTCAGAGTTAGCCCTGTTGAACGCAGCCCCTCCTGATGCCCCAAGACAAAGAGCAGGGGTTCTCAGAAGCTGGCGTTGGGGCACGTAAGTTCTGTTGGGTCCTCCCAAGCTGGGCAAGCTTCTGATGAGGGTGGTGGGGGAGAAAAGAGAAGGTGAGTTTGATGTCTGAGAGCCAGTCAGGATGAAAAACCATCTGACTGTAAGAGGCATCCAAGGGTGTGAAAAGGACTCAAGCAGGTGAAGCCATTCCTTGAAGCATTAAAGGAGCACCATGGTGACCATTAGGTCACTTGGAGAGAAGCTTGTTGGCCTCTTCCTTGGATTCACATTGTCCAGGGCCTCTAACCCCCAAGAAGGAGTAGCTGAAAGCAACAGTTTTTAACTTCAGAGCTAGAAAGGAGCTCAGAGGCTATCTTGTGCTTCATTTTACAGAAGAGGAAACTGAGCTAGAAGGAACATCTAAGTTCACCTCCTCCCCCATTTTATAGATGGGGAAACTGAGGTCCAGAAAAGTAAAATGACTCAGCCAGACGTCACATTGGTAATAAATGGCAGAGCCAGGGTTTGAACCCAAATCCAAATCATTCATGTTTCTCTAAGTACTTTAAGGCTTACGAAGTATCTTCCTCACACCCACCCTGGGAGGCAGGTCATGCCAGTATTATTAATTAGTCCCATCTGAATATTAACTAATACAAAGAGCACTGGATCTGAGGTCAGAAGATGTGGGCAAATCACTTCCCTATTCCCGGCCTCAGTTTTCCCATCTGTAAAATGGAGAGGTTGGCCTAATTGGCCTCCAGGGTCCCTTCAGGTCTCAGATCTACATGTGCCACTATGTCAATAATTCATAATATTAATAATAACAATAACCTGTAGTTACAGAGCGCTTTAAACCTTTTCCTCACAGCACTGCTGGGGGGGGAGGAAGGGTAGCGGAAAGGTCACCAGATCACAGAATTAGAGCTGGAAGGGACCTTAGAGGTCACTGAGTCCACCTTCTTAATTTTACAAATGAAGAAACTGAGGCCTGGAGGGTTTGAATGGCTTGGCCAGGGCCACACAGGTAGCCAGTGTTGGAATGTTATTATACTCCTTTGACAGATGAGGACATTGAGTCCACTCCAGATCAGGTCCTTTTCCCCTCAATCAGAGAGTATTAATGCTCTCCCTGCCTAGGACCGTCGAGGAGGCAGCTTTGACATCAGCGATGGGCATCGGATGAGCCCTGAGATGAACCCGGCCTTCATGCACCGGAGACATACGGACCCTGAGCAGCTGCAGATGATTGGGGTAGGCACTGGGCCTTTTTGACTTCTCCCAGGCAGCAGAAAGAAGGTGGAGATAAGAGGGCTGGGAGTGGGGAGGGAGGGAGGAGGAAGAGGAGGAGGAGGGGAGGGCCATTCTTCCCTGGGGGGTAGCTTGTCCCTCAGTACTTCGGGCAGCAGCAGGGACCTAGATGAACCATCCCAGGCCCAGAGCCAGCCCTTTTGACCCCAGGTGATGGAGGCAGGAGGATTCAGCCTGTTACCTTCACATCACGTTGCCCTGTCTTGTACCTACTTGCTTAGTTCCTGGCCTCGCCTCTGCTGGAATGAGACCAGAGAGCAGCGGGCAGAAGTAAGCCCCCACATGGGGCACACCTGCTGGGAACTCCTCCCCACCCTAACTCCCTGGGCCTGCTCAGGCTGATGGAAGTGCAGGGATTGAGCTGGATGCCAGCATTCTGCAGTGGCAGGGTAGAGCGCTGAGGGCCTTGGGGCACAGGGACAAACAGGAGGGGTCTTCCTCGGGCCCTGGCAGGCCTTGGATTTAAGGCTGTCTGCCTGACCTGAGAGAGGGTGGAATGAGTTGGCCTCCTTGGAGGTCAGGGGCTCCTCATTGTCATAGGAGGTCTTACACTGGGGTGAGGGATGGCTATCCAGAGGTTCCTTCCTCTTCTGCAATCCAGGGGTTCTTAAGCAAGCCTGGAATTCCGTTCCCTGTGAAGATGAGGGAAGATAGGGGCCTGGCAGGAAGCGTCTCCTTGGTCCAGCTCGGCCCAGGGCCTTGAGGCACCGATATTTGCCAAGGGACCTTGCTTCCAGTGAACACACCCCAAGTGAGGCATTGCCACCCTCAGGGCAGCATCTACCCAGGAGACAACTCATCACCCATCCATCCTGGCTTTGTGACAGTAACTGTGAGCTCTGTTATTACAAGCTTGAGGCCAGTTTGTTTCTGTCACTGAAAGAATCTCAGAAGTGATTTCGAGGGGTTAGCTGGAGAGCAGAGACTTCTCTGGACTCCCCAGCTGGCCTTTCTAGTCAATGTAACAAGCTTTTAATAAGCACCTACTATGTGCGGGGACTGTACAAAGACAGAAGGGGAATGGTCCCTGCCCTTGAGGAGTGGACATTCTAACTGGGAGAGGTAACCCCTCCCCTAATAAGAAGATACCCAATTCATATGAAATGAGAGCACTGACTTGGGCGGCCTCCTACCCAGGAGACCCTGGACAAGTCACTTAATGTCCCTGGGGCTCAGTTCCTTCATCTGTAGAGTGGGAGGGCTGAACCAAGTGGCTTCTGGGGTCCTTTCCAGCATTAGAGCTGAGCTCCTGAACACAAAATAATCTCAGGAAGAGGAGAACAGTAACAAGTGGGGGGGGGGAGGTCAGGAAATGCCGGCTGGACAAGGCCACCCCGAGGCCCTGAGGGAAGCCAGGGAGGCAGTGGGCACAGCAGGGAAGGGAACATGGTGCCCAGCTGTGCCAAGGCACAAGGCTGGGAGACTGGGGATAGCTGGCAGGCAGTCTCCTTATCTTGTTTGTAGAAGGTCCTTCTGTTTCAAGTTTCTCTCCTGTGGTTTCAGGAGGTCAAGGGGGCCTCATGAAGGTCAAGAATTAGACGTTTCTCTTCCTGACCACTCGGAATCCAGCTGTTCCGAAGGGCTCAGAGGCCACCTGCCCCCAAACCAGACCTCAGTCGTTCAACCCATCAAGTAACAAGCATTTATAAAGCCCCTACTAGGCGCCAGGCACTCTTCTAGGTGTCGGTATGTGATAGAAAGACAACATTTAAACAGTCCTTGCCCTCAAAGAGCTTACACTCTAATGAAATGTACATGGTCCTCTTTGAGAAGGAAGGACAAACAGCCAACGACCTGAACAAAATTCCCCGTCGTCATAGCGCCCAGCAAGGGTCGTCCAGCCTCTGCCGGAGGACCTCTACTCACGGGGAACCCACTACCTCCAAGGCAGCCCAAAGCTCCACTTCGGATAGTTCTAATCTTTGGACCCGGCCTCAAGTCTCGCCTCTGACACGTGCACGTTGTCTAACCCAGTGCTCCAGCCTCTCCTCGGAGACAGAGTCACTGATCTGCACCAGTGGAGAGAGTTTCCACACCAGGAGTCCCCGGGTCTGAATTAAGCCTTGCTAGGAAGCCTTTCCTCATGCAGCAGGACTAATTTGCTGGAGGAGGAGGGCTGGGGCCTCCCATGGAGACCGCAAGCCTCAATCTGCCTTGAATTCCACCTAAGGTTCCTGGTTCTGCCCCTGGGGGTGGACCTTTGGGAAGGGAGCTTCTCCCCGGGCAGGGAGGAGGAAATGGCGGAGCCTCGGAGTCCCCCGATTCATTTTCTTCTGCCTCTTCCCCACTCCCCTGCCCCCTACAGAGAGTGCGCTGGGCTCGAGCCTTGTACGACTTTGAGGCGGAGGAAGAGGATGAGCTTGGCTTTTGCATCGGTGAGGTGGTCGAGGTCCTAGACAGCTCCAACCCATCCTGGTGGACCGGCAGACTGAACAACAGACTGGGCCTCTTCCCAGCCAACTACGTGACCCCGCTCCTCCGCTGAAGCCAAGCCTTGGGGTTCAGATCCCGACTCCTGCCCCCATCATCTCGGGTGGACGCCAAGCCTCTGAGCCAGGCACGGAGCGCGGAAGGGGACAGGGACAGGGATTCTCCTGCAAAGACCCACGATGCGTATTTGCATACACATACTGTTTTATTACTGTAATTTATGGTGAGGTGGCTGATAAAGTAGTTTACAGAAAAGGCACCCAGTTGAGGGGTTATTTTTATTCCATCTCTCCCTCTCCTTCAGGAAGAGAGCGGTGGGTGGGCGAAAACAGTCCTTAAAAGTTGTCTCTGCGTTCTCTTCCACCCTGCTCCTGGACTTTTCCCCAAGATCAGGAAAGCCGAGACCAAAGTGGGGTGGAGAACCACAGGGGTGCGATGGTATTTGGCCAGGGCAGGTTTCAGCCTGTTACCCCCTCCCTGCCCCGACCCAGCTCTGCCCGGCAGAGACAAAGGGCGGTGGATGGAGACACAAAGTGGGGGTGTGGGGGACAGAGCACGGAAATGGGAATCAGGAAGACCCCTTGGACAGACAGTCTGGGAAAGCCTATTGGCTTCTTCTCAGAATAACGTTTTTAAATGCGTACTATAAAGTACAGAGGATTATAAAGGAAACCAGGTATCCAAAAACACACTTTTTTTTAAATTCAGAGGTCCCAGGATGAGAATCCCCGCTCTAATCCAATCCCCTCATTCTAGAGATGAAAAAATTGAGTCCCAGGCAAGTCACACACGTCATAAGCATCTCATCAGGATTTGAACCCAGATCTCCTAATTCTCTTACCACTGAACCACACTGCCTCTCATATAGCATGAGGGAAGAGGAACAAGAGTCCTGGGGATTCTGCCATGGGCAGCTGAGGAAACCCTGGCTTTCCCAAGCCTCTCTTCTAAGCATCCAATCAACACTGAGTTGAGATCGGTCATTCATCAGTATGGCTTAGCATGCATTTGCTGATCCATCCTCAAAGCTACCATATAGTTCATATGTCCCCATTGCATAGATGGAGAGACTGAGGCACAGCACGCCAAGCAAGGGTGCTCAAGCCTCAGGAGACCCCCTTGAACAAGAGCTTTCTTTTCCTTAGAAGAAGGAGGAGGGTGGAATTTGCAAAGTGCTCTGAGACCTGGAGGCCAGAGGGGGAGGGACAGTCGTCTTGATAACGCCCAAGGATGTCCCCTCCTGATTTTCTCTGTTTTGGAGATGTCTGGCTTGGTGGCACCGGAAGGAGACCTGGCTTCATGCGCATGTCCCCTGAGGAGCTAATTAAATGCGACTCTGGTAGGGGGCAGGGTGTTAGGTTTACGAGGCATCCCAAGCTCTGTCTGGCCACTAACCTTGCCTCTGTGAAGTGACCGGCATTGCTTAGGAGAGAAAGTGCTCCCCACTTCCCCCCCCATCTCCCATCCCCAGCTCTCCTCAAGAAGAGTGCCAGATGTTTTTGAAACCGACTGGGGGGGGGGGCGTGGCACAAGGAACAGGGCTTATTGGCAGGAGAGTTGGGGAAAGGAGGAGGATACTGCTGGAGACTCCTCGCTGTGGGGGGACATGCCCAGCAAACATGTCCACATTGAGGGTCTTCTCAAGTCTTTACGGTGAAGCCGATGAAGGTGCTAAGACAAATGTGCCAGTGTGGCAACGGGGAGGGTGGCGGATGGGGGAACATCCCTTCTCTCTTTTTCTCTTGCCCTACTTCCTGCTAGAGGAAAGGAGGGGTGGGGGAGGAGGAGCAGCTCTGGCCCAGAAGAATGAGCATTCTGATCCCCGAGGGCCTTCAGAGCAAAAGGGCACCGCACAATGGGACCAGCAGTGGGTCTGCTGGAAAGACGAGAAGATGGCCGGGAAATGGTGGGGGGCAGGAGAAGATGAGAGATGAGTGCTCAGCGGCCCCAGGGAAGGGAAGCAATGAAAGGGGGGAAACAGGAGGGGAGAGATTTCCAAAGATCAGGGCACAGCCTGAAAAGCTCAAAAGAAAGGCGAGGGGGGAGAGGTTAAGTGGGGTCAGCCAAAGAGAAATGGATTTAAAGTGGGGGAGGGGGGATTTAAAGAGTGAGTTAAGTTGGGGAGGGGGGGAGTGAGAGAAAGGGAGGGAGTGAATGAGAGACAGAGGGAGGGGGAGGGAGGGAGAGAGAGAGAAAGAAGAGAGAGAGAGAGAGAGAGAGAGAGAGAGAAGAGAGAGAGAGAGAGAGAGAGAGAGAAGGGAGAGGGAGAAAGACAGAAAAAAGGGAGAGGGAGAGAGAAAGGGGAAGAGAGAGAGAAAGGGGGGAGGGAGACAGAAAAAGGAGAGGGAGAGGGGAAAAGAGGAGAGAAAGAAGGAAAGGGGAAGAGAGAAAAGAGGAGAGAGAAAGGGAAGAGAGAGAAAAGAAAGAGGAGTAGGGAGACTTAAAAATGAGAAATTAGAACCAAAGTTACAAGGAGGAAGACAGAGGTGGGGAGGGCAAGCGCCAGGGCGAAGAGCAGAAGGGCATGAAAAAAGAACGGGGTGCTGAGAGAGAAGGGAAGGGAGCAAAGGCAGAGACCTCGGAGCTATTTCTGTGCCGAGTCACTGGAAGAAAACATTACAGTAAATAAAAGTCACAAGCAACTTTTGGTTGCACGGTATTTGTGGACCATATGTTTTCAGCAGGCTGCTCTCTCCTTGGGGGAATGGGAAGAAGAGGCTCAGGAGAGAGAGAGGCTGAGGCAGAGACAGGCGATTCAGGAGTCTTGGCTCTTGCCTATAAATTCTGCTCCCTGAGCCGTTACCCAAGAAATCTGGAATATCAGCAACGGTCCCTGCAGGCCACCCAGCCATATGGCCTTGGTCAGAGGCTGGAGTGGGCAGGAAGGCGCCAACCTCAGGGACCAAAGGTGGGGGCTCATGCAGCAGTAGATGAAGATGGACTGCCCTGCACATTTAGGGCTTCCTGAATTCCTCAGATGGTAGGATTGGCTCAAATGCTATTTTTTAAAAAATCTCCTGTCTGGGGCTACATGCATTGAAGATGCCTAGTGATATCACCCCACCCGAGGTCTTCCTTGGCCTCCCACCAAGCTTGGGGGCTCAAGTGAGAGGTTAAGAAAGCCTAGACAGCTGGGAAGGTCTGGCCTCTTCCACAGAAATCTGTCACTGGGAAGGAGCAGGAGGACCTGGAGTAAGCCAGTGCCAGGGCCTTGGTAGGAAGCCAGATGCCCAGGCGCAAGTTAGCCTGTCCCTTTCACTATCAGCCGAAGCAGGCCCATCTAGAAGCAGCCAGCTTGTTGCATATGGGTTCTGTGGAAGGCCCTGTGCGTGCCTGGGGAGCAGGGAACTTCCAGGGAAGAGATAAGTTCCTGTTAGACCAGTTTAAGGTCTGCTGGCAGCCTGCACAGGCTGCATGGGCACTTGCGCACTTGGCCCTTGCCACTGTACGCCCAAGGCTCAGCCCTTCTTCACAACAGCCAACAACCACAATTGTAAAGCCGCTGGAGGGAACAGAGGGAAAGAGGGTTTGGGAGCCAAGACCACTCACTTAGAGCCTTGCCTCTCCTAGGCTGACCCTGAGAACTGGCAAGTCACTGAACCTCTCACTGCCAGCCCAGGCAACCCTCTGGGACCCCAAGCTTCAGCAAAGGCGCCAGCTTGCTCTGGTGGAGAGAGTTTCCTCATCTGGAAGTTCCCTACACCAGTGAGATCACAAGTCTAGACTTTATTCCTAAGAAGAGAGAAACCAGGACATGTTCATACTTGGGCCTAATGGAAGCCAATGGGCAGTATTAAGTGCTGGAAGGGCCCAGAAGGACAACCTACTTTATAATCCTCTTTAAAAAGAAGTCAGCTATGGCTCCTGCCCTTAGGGAGCTTACCATCTAGTAGGTGACATATACAAGGCCATGAAGAACTGTTTTTTTTAAAAATGGAATGGCACAAGTGCTTAGAGAGAATTCCCAGGAGGGGCAGATCAATTTGGGCAACTGGACTTGAACATTTACTAAGTTCTTACTATATACCGGGCACTAAGCTAGAAGGTGAGAAAAGTGAAGTGGCCCCTTTTGCTCAGTCATTTTCCAACCCCATTTGGGATTTTCTTGGCAAAGATACTGGAGGGATTTGCCATTTCCTTCTGCAGCTCATTTTACAGAGGAGTAAACTGAGGCAAACAAGGTCAAGTAATTTTCCCAGGGTTACACAACTGGGAAGTATCTGAGGCTGGATTTGAACTCAGGTCCTCCTGACTCCCATGCCAGCTCTCTATCTACTTGTGACCCCTGGCTGCCCTGAAAACAGCCCCTGCCTGCCCTCAAAGGGCTTACATTTTACTGTGGGGGAGGAGAAGACATGTACATAAATAATGAAACACACAGTATATACACAATAAATATAAATGAATGGTTTCCTTTGCAAATCTTAAAGCAGCATCTAAATGCCAGTTGTATCATCATCATCATCATCATTTCTGACTAGGGAGATCAGGAAGTCTTTTTTTTTTTTAGGCAATTGGGGTTAAGTGAGACTTGCCCAGGGTCACCCAGCTAGTAAGTGTCAAGTGTGTGGTCTGAGGCCGGATTTGAACTCAGGTCCTCCTGACTTCAGGGCTGGTGCTGTATCCACTGAGCCACCTAGCTGCCCCAGAATCACAGAATTCTTGAGCTATTCTGAGGCCATCCCCTCCCCACCACGTCAGGTAAGTGACCCGGGGCAGGGCAGGACTGCAGAGAGAGCACCACCTCACATGGAGTCCAAGGACCTGGGTTCAAATCCCATCGCTGACACTTCCTGCCTGTGTGATCTTGGGTGAGTCCCTTCCCCTCTCTGGACCTCAGTTTCTTCATCTGTAAAATGAAAAAGTTAGGCTAGCTGGCCTCTCAGGACCCTTCCAGCTCCAAAACCAGGATGTGGATTCTTTCTTCTGGGACTAAACCCAAAAATCCCTGTTCCACATGCCAAC